TAGGAGTACAACCAGCGTAACTAGTACAGGAAACATTATAAAATAGATTTTCTTTTATTGTGAATGTATAAAATTATATAAGTTAGTTTCAAAGTATCTAGGTTACAAAATTTAAAAAAAAAAAAACCAGGAAAGTTAAAATTAAAATTACAAATATTTGTGAAATTGCTCGAAACGTTCGTTAAAACAAAAAGCTTTTCCACATGCATTATACAAGTGCATCGTCATTTTTTCTCCACTTCTTTATCTTTTTAATAGCAACCAGATAAACCTGTATCAGAGTCACTGTCGTATTTATCGGTTTCTGGCAAATATTCGCATTCAGTAACACTTTCATTGAAATCCAACGACGATACCATATTGGCAAGAAAATCAAAAATAAACGACAAAAGTAGCTAAAGAGACTTTAGGAAGCAAAACGAAACACGAACGAACGTGTGCCTTAGACAGCGTCAAAAGGAAAAATTAAATGTATGTCGTAACGTCAAGGTCAGCATCCCCAGAAACCTAGGATTACTGGGGGAACTAGAAAGCGCAATCTCGTACGCGAGGAGTTAATAGCATTCTCTAATGTTTTTATCATTTATGATTTCATAAGATTACAAGTTTACCTTCTTCAAAAAAAAATCACATTTAATAAATTTTTTAAATTTAAAGATCACAATAAAAAAAGGAAAATGTATTTAAATCAATAAATTTCATATTAATATTGAAGCATTAATATTCGAGAAGAGATTTGATTTTGCATGTAAGATTATAATCTTAAGGTTAAACAAAATCAGCCTGAAGTTTTTCTATTATAAAGGAATTAGTTTTTAAAATTTCTAGTCATTCTCAAGCTACAGAATATTTATATCAAATCTTAGAAAATAGGAAGAGAGTATGTATGTATTCTCTGTATGTATTTTATCAATTTTTTCACAAATATAAATACTTTTTTGAAAAGATTTATATTTTGTAACAACATATTTTTATTGAATAAAATTTTTAATAAGGTCGAATTTAAAAAAGAACATGATTTGACGTATATTTTTTTGATTTTTTTGGCATTTGATTCCTTGATTTTTTTTTATTAAAAAAAGTATTCCATTAAAATTTTTTTTTTCAATTATTGATTTCAGTTTATTTTATTCCTCGTTTCGTATAAACCCTTCGATTTATTTTTTTCTTTTCATTCACTGAAAAAGTGTTATACTCGTAATCGTAAACTTATTTCATGAGTTATTGTTTATTTATATAAAAACTTTTGAAAATGTGAAAAATTTCTTAGTACTGTTTTATTCACGCCATTTTTACTGAAAGAAAATATAAATTGTTCTTTTTTAGAGTCCCTCTCAACTACTTTGTGGCAATTTTGGATTTAGAGGTTTTTTTTTACTCGCCTTAATGTACAAAGAACTTTTATAATTCAGACTATAACTAGCATTTGTATATTTTAGAATTTTCGATTATAGTGTTAGTGAATGTGGATACATTTGAAATTTTAGAGACCTTGTGTGAATAATGGGTACAATAAGAAACATTTTACTGAAATGGATCCTTATTTTCTGAGATAAAAATTTGAATAGCCATCTTAGAGTAGTACTAAAATGGTGTTTTATGTTTTATACCATTCTTTGCAAGTTGGTGAGGGCTCATCAAAATTGCACTGTGGAGCAACACAAGAGCTGCTAGTGACGGGCCTCGTAATTTTGAACTTTGGCCAAGTGACGAGGACACCACCAGAGATAACATATCCCTCATACCCTTTTCCGAGCTTCCACACCACGCCAACGGGAGGACTTTGAGCTCCAACAGGTTTAACGCGCATTAGCCCCTCTACAAGAAAGGTCTTTAGTGGCACGGGGCTCGAACTCCTGACACGCCGGTCAGAAGTCTGTAATCATAACCACTAGGCTATCGCGGCCACATTCTGCGCAAGTCGATAGCAGAAATTTTTATTAGTTTTAAATGAAGCAATTTTGGTACTTAAGATTCCTTTTATGAGGACATACTTGTCAATAAACACTGTATTTGACATGAATATTTTAAATAGCTGGTATAGGTTTATTTTAAATATTACAGATAAAGCCTTCTTTCACAAGAAAAATAAAACTTATTCATATGAATTCATTCTTGATATCTTTTTTTTTGTAATCATGATGAACATTTTCAAAACGCACATTTAAGACATTATTTCAAAAGCCGAGTTATTTGAATCAATATCTCATTATCTCAAGCGAAATTATTGTACTCAAATTTTAGGAATTCATTTCCTAATATCTAGCTTATAAATTATTCCAAATAGCTTTACAATTCTAATTCCTTAATTAAAGTATTGGACATTCTGCTGTTCGTTTCTCGTATTTTGTGATTTAAACAGCACATCACCAGATAGTTTAAATAATTCATAGTCCTTCTGCAGGACATAAATCCCTAAAAGAGATCATCTACTTAACAATTTATCCTCTTAACTTAAATGATTCTTTAAACAATTTATGTGCTTTGGTATGAATATATCACTATATATTTTCAAGTGAATTTTAATAATTTCTTCTAAAACGTGAGGAAAAATACGTAAAATTAAAACAACGCAAATATTAAAATGATACATGAGTACGGGTTGCGCGTACGCGCACAGTTATGATGTACACAATGCGTCAAATAAGTTTTAAGTCTCGTCCCAGAGCGCAAGTTCTAATGGCATCATGAGTCCGTTAACCAAAGTATGCACTGCATCTTTTACTGTGGCGTTCACATCTTTACTAATGAAAATAGTGTAAAAAAAAAGTGTATCGTCTGCGATTGCCGAATAATGGTCACACGTGCGGCTGATCGGACCAGACCCAAAAAATCTAGGAGAGTTTTCAATCCATAGATGATCAGTTTATTACATTCTGATCGGTAGTTCCGTAATAATAATAAGCTATTACTTTTGGATACTTTAAGCCCGTACATCCTGTCATAGAGAACATCTTTTTCGCGTAGATAGGTTTTGAAATTCTGAAACAAAAAGTTTCTATTCACCTTAATATATGTATAATAATTCAAATCAAATATTGAAAGGAAACTACCACCCATAACGCAATACCAAGACCAAATAATCGAAAAGAAAAGCCTTCATTGAGTGTCTCCCGTTTTGAGGCACCATGGAATACATTTATTGAAGATAAGAAATATCAAGTAAGTTGCTAAAAAAAGAACATTCAACATCTGTAATAACTTTTCGCGCGGTAACCTTGTGGTTAAAGTCACGGACTCGAGGAATGCATGTCCTGAGTTCAAGCCTAGTACCGTTGAAGACCCATCGTACAGAGGGGGCCGATGCACGTTAAATCTGTCGAGGCACAAACGTCCTTCCGTTGGTGTAGAGTGGAAGTTAGAAGAGGAGGGGGGGGGGTGATAGATCAGGTGTCGTCCTCGTCACTTGATTATGGTTCAAAATTACGAGGTCAGATCCGTCTCCAATAGCTCTCGTGCAGCTTTTTATAGTGCAACGTTTATTTTACATCCATTCACTCACGGTGATAACTTTTACAACTATCTTCGATCTGGGAAAAATTGGTCTCTGTTAATGGTAGAAAGGGAACTAAATTATGCAAAGTAATTCATTGATTCAATTAACACAGTTGTTAAATTTTAAAGACGATTCTTTCCCTGTTAGGAAATCCGAATGCTTACAGAATAAATTCGAAAATCTTTTGAAAAATCTATATTCAAAATTCCCCTTGTATCCGATCATTAGTTCCGGAGATATTCAAAGAAACTGTTAGGAGCTATTAGTTGTCACCTAACAGTTTCTAATAGCTGCTAACTAAGGAGTTGTAATAGCTCCTTATAGTGAATTTCATAATAAAAATAAGTTTTGGAAGTTAATTGACTATGCTAATTAATGCCATAATTTTGTTCAACTATGATGACAATTACGAAATTTATTAAGGGTGGTGCTTTCTTCTGATGATTGTTGAGTGTAACCTAACAGCAATAATTATCAGCTTTAAACTAAAATAGTCAAGAATTCCCAAGACAGGGAACATGAACTTATTTAGAGTATAAAATACAGAAAAAAAAATACCCAGTGAAAGAATATTAGTAAATGGTGGATGTATTCAAGTTCCGGACTTGTTATCGTGATATTTTATTCTAAAAATAGACTTTAATTAAAACTCTTAAGTCAAGTAAGATTATGTAACATCATATCGGGAATAGTGATCAACTATTGGCCACTTACCCACAAAGACGTGATAAAATCCTACTTTTGGTGCACACCTTAGAAACGATTTTAAAAATTTGCCAAGATTGATCCAATAGATTTGATTTGATTTTAGTTTACATTTTCCTCTTATCCAACGCGAATTTTATTGAAGAAGGGCCTCGTAATTTTGAGCAACAATAAAGGGACGGAGATGACACCTAACTGGCACCCTTTCTTCAAACTTTCACAGCCCACCAATGGGAGGACATTGAGTCTCGATGGATTAAACTGTGCATCGGCCTTTCTTTAAACTAATGATCTTCAGTAGTAGCGTCAGGAATTGAACTCATGACTGGACAATGCAGGATAAGACCACTGGGCTACCACGGTAAGAGGTTGCACCAATGCATGACTTTTGAGTTTGAAAATATTGGTGCATTGAAAAATCAATGGCAGCATCATTGAAACAAAGAAAAACCTGAAATAAAAATCAAGTCTCGCAAAAAATGTGCAATAAACGTACTCATTTTCTCCAAAGAATAAGTAATATATAAAAAAATTTTCTTAAGTCAATTCCTATTTAGGGCAACAAAAAATATTTTTTTTTAGTTATTTTTTATTAATTAGTTAAATAAACATAAATATATATACCACATATGACAGAATCACACTATTAAGTGACAAAATAGACAGCGATTTTCCATTTTAATTTCTATATATGGTTGGACAATTTTTTTTTGTGTTTGTTACTATTTATTCATTAATCAAATTTAATTTTTATAATAAAATAGTATAGTAAAAAATAAATCCAATTTTTAGAAATTAGCCTATCCCAGGGGTATTCGAACCCATGACCTTTGGATTAGAAATCCAACACGCTATCCATTGCGCTACAGACATAACGAATAATTTTCCTTTCTATTTATGCTGTTGGGCTATTATATTTGTCTGTTACTATTTTTTAATTAATTAAACAGAATTAATGATTTAATATTTGAAAAAAAAACTGTATTAACATCAAGTGTTCATTACAAGTTTAAAAAATGTATGTGAACTTGAATAAATCAATAGAAAGTATTTTATTAACGACTGAAAAAACTTGAACAAGATTAATATATAGAAAGAGAGTGAACTAATAGTAGGAATTGAAAAATAGCAAAAATAGCCAGGGACTAAAAGAAATTTAAAAAAAATCACACTAATCTTATGATGCAGATTTTCATTTTCTTCTTGACGAAAATTTCATTTTAGTGTTTAAAAAAACAAAATGCACAGTAGATAATGTGTTTTCCTGCAGAAAGAAAAGGGGATTAAATACATCGTTGTTATATAATTTGGCGTCCTTTTTGGTGCCAAATGGTTTTTGTTGCCGTGGGTTGCATGTAAATAGGATCCAACATAAATAATTATTAAATATATATTATGTTCTAATAAAACAATTATTTCATTTACAATACGTTACAATATAAGAAACCATATTACAATAAAGTATTACAAACGTTTCGATCTTTTCTTGTAAGCAACAGGGACTGGATATTTGTGGTCCTATCATATATTTTGTTATTGTTTTGCTATATAATTACAAATGAAACATTTATTATTGTAAAGAGAATTTACTGTGTATTATTATTTTTGCTAATATTTTTGTAATATACATTTTTCGGTTGAATTTAGCTAACTATTTTTCTGACTTGATTGTTTATATTAATTTGATATAAGAACATATACGATTTTAAAAACTAAGTACATGTTATGAGTTCCAATAAAATTTCTCTTAATTTTCAAAAAAAGTGTGCTTACAAATATAATTAGGTATGGTTCGATGACTAATGTAATTTTTAATTTTTGTTTATATCAAAACGTAAAATTACAATTTGCATCTGATTATTATAGAAAAAATGCAACAAATTTTAAAAACAACACTTTACACTTTGAAACTTTTTTTTTCTACAGAAGTCTATCGGGAACGATTTTTAATGGTATTTTAGATAAGTTCATATTCCCATTAAAATTAATGAAGAAATAATGATACTAATTGAATCAAATATAGTTTTAAGTTTTTTTTACAGGGGACCCATTGGGGGAAGAGGGGGATTGGTACTTTAGCTAAGTTGGAATTTAAATTAAAATTAAAGAATGATTTTTATGATACTCACTGATTCAAAAATTGTAAAAAGAAGCAATTTTTTCTGAATATGTAAAATTATTAATTTTTTCACACAAAGTTCACTTTAGTGACACTATTAAAACGTGCTTCTAGACAATTCCTTCAATTTTATTGAATAAAGGAAATACTTTTTTTGATTGATAGAAAAGTAAACACAAAAGCTTTGGGTTTTCAAAATGGGTTCGTAACGTTCGTTTATTATTTCCCCCCAAAATGTAACTGAGAATTTATTGTTTATGAACTATTTCATACTTCTCAAATCAACGGATGATAAATAGATTTTAACTTTTCATCAGTTTTGTTTGTATTAGAATGCTTTTTAATGAAAATTAAAACCAAATCGGCCAGATTATTATTTATTTTATCCCCAAAACTTTCGCTTTTAGAAAATTCTCCATTAAAACATATATTTTTCTATTCTATTCGAGAAATATCATTTTATTTTCGAATAAAAAATTTGGAAATATCATTTGATTCATGAATATTTGCACACATTCGAATAAATCAACTGAAAGAAGCAAGTTGTGACAATTTAGAGGGAAAATTCTACCAGCTCTTTAGAAAAGGAATTTGACTCAATATATAAACTGGGAAAAATCTGCTTTTATGTTATATGCGCAAACGAGTAAGGAATGTGAAAAAAATAAGATGGTTATTTCACAATTTCTTTGAAAGAAAACACTTGATGAAACTTCATCTGTATCTCGAAAGAATGCTGTCAAATGCTGTAATGCTTAAAAGAATTTTCGCTTACCGGGTTCTTTTTGCAGACAGTTCTCAGAAATGTTTAATGCTATATTATATTATAAGCGACGCTGTTTCTTAGAAACAGTGTTTAAATAATTGAATGAAGAAATCTTTATTTGAGGTGTACAATGTGTTTCAATAGAAAAACGATTGTGATTAGGAAATATTTTAAGGTTTTATATGTTATTGCATATCAGGATTATACTTTGAATTGATGTTGCGTGTTGCTTATTCTTATGGTGCTTTACAAAAATGTTCTATTATGTTGATAAATTCTCTTACAACCAAGTCATGTTGCCACTCCTAATAAGTTCGACATTTCCTGTTTGAATATTGAATATTTTAAAATTGAATATTTCGCTTTGCGTTTGTTTATTTACTTTGAATCTGGCAACAAAATTTTAGTTAAGTAAGTTTTTGGAATATTCTAAAGTAGATGCGAATGAAGAAACGTAAGAAAGGAAATACATGTATAAAGTTTTATCTTTACGAAGTTTGTGCTCATATTATAGTTCATTTATGTAAATAGCCTCATTAATTCTTTATTGTATATAGCCTCATTTATCCTGAGTGTCGAAGCAAAAATAAATGGAATATTGAAACTAAGAAGAATATCAGTTTCTCGAGTCACAACAATTCACAATAGAAAGTTTTGAGAACATTACAATGGTTCATTTTTAAGTGATATAATGCGTGAGAAAAACACTGTATAATATGTATTTTAAACAAACAATTGATATGGGAAAGCTTCCTCTTAGCTTTTTTATATTCCTCAAAAGTGAAATGTGTACCCCTGAGAAAATAACAAAAACTGTAGAGATAACACTCAGATGAAAATGGTTAAAGAAACAGACAGAAATATAAATTAGAGCAGTGCTTCTGAACCTTTTTATTGCCACGGACCGGTCAATTACCGTCCAATAATTTTACCATGATTTTAACGTTGATTGTTTATACTTTAAATTGTTTTGATTTAATAATTTTAATGTAATTGTATTTATATATGCCTTTAAAATAAAATACAGTCACTCCAACAAATGAATATAAAGTGATTTAACATACAATATAGATTTCCATAGGAAGTTGAACAACCCGAGAAAAATCCACCACAGTAAATAAAACGGAAATAAGTTAATGTTTCCTGGTATCGGTACCCGTCCGCGGCTCGGGCGTTGGGGACCATTGCATTAGAGAATTGTTTATTCAGTATATCTGTGTGTTCAATTAATATATTACATCCATGATATTCGACTTACACAAATAAAATAAAAGGTTTAATTGTTCTTGGATATTATTTCTTTGTAAATGAAATAATACAATTTCAAGTTAAATTAACGTATCTGATTTAGGAGAGCAATTTAATAGCAATTATTAAGGCATTGAGTTTAAGTAAGGGATTCTTATTCATTTTTAAATAATAAATGTCATTTGGGAAAAATCTCATTTACAAAACAAAGCCGAATAATGAAAAACCCAGATGAAAATGTGAAATGCAAAGTAATAAGCTTTGCTTGAGTAACCTCATTTTTATTCATGCCATGGGATACCCAAGTACAAATTCATCGTAAGTAAATTGCAATCTCTATGGAGAAATAAATTCTGATAATGGTTAAGAACGCTTTGCACACATTTGAAGATTTGAAATTATATTCCTCATTGCGATCTCTCCTCATTTCATTCCTTTTTTTCTAGAAACTATCATCTTGAAGATAATGACAATTGCAATAATTTATTTACGTAACAGAAGAAATAACGAGAAACCAAAGGTTTTTTTTATCATTATTATAATTACTCTTTTGTCTTCTCATGTTTCTTTATTAAATTGCCTGATTGATCAACTAATAACAAAAGAAAGTTATTGCACAGATGGACACATTTAGTCGATTAATGGGATTTCCAATCACCAAACTTCTCCAGGGAACAGCTTTACATAAAATAAGAGAAACTGTATCAAGTTTATATGTACCGTTTTTATTTATATTTATTCTATACTGTAGTCTTTTGTATCCTTCTTTTTCCTTCCTTCCTTCCGTATTGTACTTAGTATATTTCCATTTCCCATCATAGAATTTTTTACCTTGTGTTTATCAAAACATCCTAAATTTGTTTAAATCATTATAATACAAAAAAGAAAAAAATCTTATTTTTTCTTCGGTGCTATTTTATTTAATAAAATACAAAAGGTTGTTTGTACTTTATGGAAACGATTTGAAGAGCTAATTTTTATCTATAAATGCTATATTTTTTTGGTGGTGATTTTCTTCTATCATATAGCCATGATTCTTAACAATAGTTCTAGCTCGAAATTTTTAATGAAAGTAGATTTTTTCTTAAAACTGTCATGCCAATTTTACTCCATTACTCTCGAACCGCTTTTCAATGTCCTTTCAGTGTTCTTGGATGCCGTTTTCCTAAGGCTCGCTTTAATAAATTGAAAGCACTTTCCATTGGAGAAGCTACAGGTTGATTTTACAAGTTGTGACGGATCTATACGGTATTTCACTAACTTCTTCTCTTTTTCCTTAAAACAATTTATTTATTTCAACCAATCTTCACCGAGAGCCAGGCGTGATTTATGTAAATAAGATATATTATATAAATTCGGTTTTCGCGAGTTAAGAGGCGAAGTAATAGGAAGTGAGAAGTCAAGTGAATTAAAGATCGAGAAGTCGATACGAAATTGTTGACAAGTGTAGCTAGCCTGATACGTGTTGATGTACGCGAAGAGAAGCGGATTTAAAATAGTGAAATTCATTATTACTGAGCATGGAGTCTTCACCAATTCTTCCAGACACATAAAGGGCCTGAAGTCCTCACGAAGGAACCGCCGCTGTAAAATATAAGGTCAGTGACTTAGATTAATAAATTCAGATTATTCGCGTGTGGCGTTGTTGTAATTGTGCGCGTTTAAGCTTTCCTAGATTCAGCTGAAATTCTGTATATTCTGCTAGCATTGATACCCCACTTCATTGCTCCACTCTCACTT